AAGAGCGAGAAAGAGCGCTAGAGAAAAAGAAATCAACGAAGACTTGTGCGAACATAGATGAGGGAAAGAAAAGAAAATGGCTATGGTGATTAAGATCAAGGACATTGAAGAATAGTAGGTTTAATGATTCAACACGAGAACACATTAAATAATTTTGTTAGTCGTCTAATACTAGTGGAATACATATGGTAAAAGACAAGAAAAATATACATACCATTTAACATTTGTCATTGTAAGTGAGAATTATCCGATGATTTCATTATATACTAATTTATAATATGACGTATATGCATATTGACTTTCGACTGTATAGATGATATCTGACGATTATCTAAAATGACAATAATAACAACAACAACAACAGCAAACGACTAACTAGAATAAAGAAATAGTTTGAAACAATGAACGTATGTGTTGATCTGACAGAATATATAATTTAGAGACAAACATTGAGAGAAAGAGAGTATGTTGATGATTTGCAAACGAATAGTGTCTCAAATGTAAAATGATTGTCTTCATATATAATGCTCAATAAATGGAAGAATGTTTTTACTAACAAAACTAATCATAGTATGATGAAGCCTGAAAAAAGTTTCAATGAATCTTCTAAATGATGTAACAAATATCAATGTACGATGAGTCTTTTTTTTGTTTCCTCTTCTATTTTGTCTTCATCTCGATCTTTTCCACTTTTATAATAATTAAGTATTGTATTAACAACATGGATTAAATGACAAATTCTGACATATACATAAATCTAAATGATTTTTAACTAACGATGACAATAATATCATACTGATATGAAAGGAAAACATTCACGACTAGAATTACATGCACCCCAACAATTTCGATAGTAAACATGGTTTCCGTCGATCATACAAGTGTAAAAAGAAGAAAGAGAAATGTGTAAAACACATCTTCACTATCAACGTTATTTTCTTTAGTTATAATAACGATCATAAATAATAGCTAAAACTCGAACGTTTTCTCTCCCTCTCATTACCTATTTTTCTTGTTCACATTGATGTCGCTCAAGTGGTTTGCCTGTAAATTGCTTCTGCACACACAATGAGAGGGAGAGAGAGAGAGAGAGAGACAGACAGAAAATGATATATATATTTTTTGAAGACGGTTATGATTATCACACCATTTTTTTTTCCTTTTCCTGTGTAATTGAACGAACATAAATGAGAATAGTAAAGTAGAAAGCAGTAACATTAACAGTGAATACAACTGTTACAATGAATAAAGAGAAAAAATAATCCAATTCTAGTTTTTTATATAAAAGTTTTTCTTTATTCGTACAGTAATCTTAGTTGCAATAGTGAAGCCGGAAGTGAGCATCCCGTCGTCATCGCTCTACATGTCATTTGAATTAGATACTTGCAGTTTGCGTGATGTCATTGTAATTGTATGTGTAGAAGAAACTTTCTCTATCTAACATTACAGAAAAACAAGTAGTTGATCATCTCGCCAACGAGAAAAAGGAGCAGACACGCGCATCAATGCTCAAACAGATCCGCCTCTTATTTATTTCGCTTTGAGAAAAGAGGCGAGAGAAATGCGTAAGGGAAAACATAACAACTATAAGAATTTCATGTTGATTGTATTATTTTCACTATCACCATTACCATCAACGAACTGTAATGCATGTTGTAGAAGCAGCAAGAGTTTCACATTATTAAATGATAACTACCATCCTCAGTCTACTATGCATAGTGAAATCCATTGAGAATAGCTGTCGTCATCCGATCTCTTTTTTTTTTTTTTTTTTGGAGAGTAAAGCGAAGAGTGAGAAAAACTGCAGCAAATAACCGTAGTCGTTAGTTCACCAAGAAGAAAAAAAAAAGAAAACACTAAGCAGAGTAGTGCGAGAAAAATCTGATCTTTCTCTCTAATCACTCACACATATGCATATATATGAGTACTGAAAAGATCGTAGTTCTATCTCAAGAGCGTTATCAAGCCCGGCAGCTAAAAAAATAAAAAAGAGATATGATCAAATATTGTGCAAGATGAGAAGTTTGCAAGTACAAAATGTAATCAACTATTGAAGAATTTGTTTGTTTGTCTTTTTATACGGTTATTTTCTCTTGAAATACAATAAAATTTGAATGATAACATTTATTAGGAAAAATACAATTTGAATTTAGAATAAATACTTAAAACAAAACAAAAATAATAATATTCATGATAATAAACTTTCCAATACGAAAGAAACAAACGAATGTTTTTCTTCTTTATGGTTAGAACAATACATAAACTAAAGATGATTGACACTTTCTAATAATCTCAAACGATGATGAAACTGACAGACGATGATACTCAATACTCCCAGACGGACAACTATCAATATCAAGGATAACTGACTATAAATGTCGACTTATATTGACACAGCGTGCATATACACAGTATCATGTCTATTTTAGTTATCATCATCAGATGTCGCTTGTGCCTAGAAGTATATCTTAAACTATCATCAAGCCTTATCATCATTTTCATCATAACAAGAGATATTTACCAATAAAGAAAAACTATTGACTATAATCTTACAACATATATATATATATCTATATATTGGAAAATTGCATGTGTACACAGACATATTCCTTTTGCATGATGTATATTTATACAAATATTGCTACTATGATAGTAATTAATTTAATTCTACTCCTCCTATTTAATTGATACATGAAACATTTTTCTTCGATTAATACACGAACACAAATGATTGATTAACTCTGTATTGATTTCTTAAACTAACATTATTCATGATTTGTTTGGTAGTAATATCAATCTTTCTCATTCAATCATATATACACATAATTCATCCCATGATGAAAATGATGGCATAACTTCTACAGTCTATCCCTAGAGGCGATTCCACTAGTAGTTCACCATCAATGAATATTGAGAGAGAGAAAAAGAGTGAATAATAGAAAGTCAAATATTTGTTGAAAATAAATACGAACACAGATGGTATGGAAAAATCTTTCTTTTTTTTTATCACGCACATTTAGTTACGTTAGATATATTGATGTCGGTGAATACATAGCAATCAAGTGAACATCATTGGCCGATGTTGTGCATATACGCATGACAGACATAAGTAACATGTCAGTTGTGGCACGCAGCAGGCCAAAAGTGACATGCGATTTGTTGTCATCATCGCTTCATCACCAACATGACAGATGAGTATATATACATATATATATATAGGAAGATAAAGTAAATGAAAAATGAATAAAAACATCAACAATTAGATTTCTAGTAAAATCACAAATAAAATAAAAGCAATGCTTTCAATTTTTTAGTTTTGATTGATTTTAATCATAGATGATTGATTGTTAATTAATAGAAAAAAGTTATTTTTTGAATAGATTTTTTTTCTTTTCTTTATCTTGTCTCTAGTCGTTATCTCATTTCAGTTGCTCTTATTGCTAGTGATTAGATCTCAATGAAAGGAAATGACAAGTTCCGACTTTGCCTGTGCACGTTACTTTCTTTTTACGCACATAACCATACATGCATGTAGACAGGCAAAAGTTGATTATGCATTGAAAAATAAGCTCACATGGTTATTGTAATACGAAAGCGAGAAAAATATGTAAAATGAAATTAATATACAAGGTAATTAAACAACCTACCTGACTAAATAATCAGCTAGCATTTAAGATTGTCTTGCAATCACTATACACGCACCGTCGAAATCGTAGGTATTGTATTTGTAATAGCAATAATATCGATTTCTGATTGTCAACACTGTGAGAAAAGATGTAGGAGAAGAAACATCAGCAGAAAAAAAGATAACCAAGAAAAAAAAAGAAGAACATTGTGAGATGGCATGATGATGATCAGAAATCATTTTTTTTTTCTGTTCCTCCTTGGTAAAGTTCATCGGTGCCAACTATAGATAGTTTGTACGACATGAAGCTTGTATTGGCAAGCGACGAGAAGAAAAAGAGAAATGACAAGGTGTTTCCTTTCAGTCTTTACATAAATACATTCCTATGCTTCGGCTTGTTCCAGAACATGCGCATCAACAACAACAAATAGCGATAAAGTCTATGTATATGTCAATATGGATAGAGAAAGAAAAACTACTACATAGCGTGTGAATAGTAATAACGGTACTACTCTTCGCTTTTGCTTGCTTATATCATACCAAACAATCGACATTCTACTAATATGGAAGATAGATAACTGCTGTTATTACTATTATTACGTATACTGTGGTTTGGTCTCTTCATTTTCTTTTCTTCATCATATGTACGTATACTATTGCATTCACAATATGTTTGCACATTATTTACTTCATACGGACATAAAACTCAAGACGAAAAAAGAATCGATGAGTTATTGTTTCTTTCATTTTTAGCATTTTCTCAGTATCAATTTAAATAAGACGGTAATTCCTTTTTTCTTTCTTGATCTTATTTCAAAAAATATTTTCTCATTACTGTTAATTCAACCTAATAGTTTGTATGTAACATTCTAGTATAAAACACAACTAATCGAAGGGCATTAACGAAACATAAGAGCGAGAGAGAGAGAAACAAAGTTCAAACGAATCGATTAAGCTAAAAAGAGTGTGAGGATTCTGCTTACTCGTCGCCCCCATTCCCGTATGTAAATAGAAATCAGTGGAAATGATTGTTTCTAAAAAAAAAACGAGAAAAAGAAAGACGTAAGCAACATATAAGAGAGAAGGGGAAAATGAAGCAATAGAAAAGAAGAAACGATGAGAACTCAATGCTGTCTTCTGCATATCTGATTGGGCTCTATAACTTCTTCAAATCGATTCTTTCTTTTTTTTTTTTTATTCTTTGAACGATCAATAAATGAAAGTAATAGTAGCAATAAAATGCAAAAAATGAAGAAAGGGGAAAAATCCTGCCACATCTGTAAACAACATCCAAAAATATAGGATAATAATACAAGCACAAGACGACAATGAGAATTAGGGGGAAAAAAAAAACTTGTTCAATATTTATGATCGATTATTCAGGTTCATTATTATTGCGTGTTTCTGGATAGATAAAGTCTTGCGTGCTTAAGTTGAATGTTTCATTATTAAGAAATCTAAACAAAAAAACACAGGAAGATCATTGCATATATATATACATGTTTAGCAACTAATTTGATCTCATACGCTTCATCTTGATCGACGATTGGCATGTTAGTTGTTTGTCGTGTAAGACGAGATTTAATTCTATCTTCTTTCAATCTTGGCATAATACTACAACTTGGATTCCATGAAATATAATTAATACTTTTATAATAATCGAGAAATGTTCGTGCTAAATTTCGTCCAAGTTCTTGATCTATAAATAACGTATTAAAATAGAAAAAAATCTTTCTATATAAGATTTAAGTATTAATATTATTTCTTCTTATATTAAGTGGCTTCAATCCATTTTATACCCTGGAGGAAACCTAATTTTAAAAGAAAATTAAATTTCAAAGATAATTCTATTGGAATCTATCAAATCATTTTTCTTTTTATAGAAAAAAAAAAAAGCAATAAACTATATAAATTGTTTAAAATAAGTTTTGATTCCCTCAAGCAATTTTCTTTTCTTGCATGTTTCCATTCTATTAAAAGCTAATATTCATAGTACATGTACTTAGGAGTGTCTTGAGGCCATCGAGATCCGACAAGGGAAAGATCTTCCATTGTTTTGGGAATTAGTGAGTAAAAACGATGAAGTAAATTGTTGAGTTTCGCTGGGCGAAAATGAAAAATTTTCTAAATTGAAGATGGATCACCTTCCCTGTTTCCATCGAGACATCCCTGCGTGTACCAAATGTTGAAATCTACTCTATATGAGCATATCAATTTTTGATGTGTTATTGTTACAGAGATACGACTAAAACCAAGATCACGACATGTTTTCAATCATTAGAGATAGAAAAAGCGACAAATTTTAGCCGTTCGATCATTCACTTATGACGATTAATTTTTAGCTTTATGTCTATGACGGCTTCCAAATCTATTTTTCATTCATACAGCTATGAATGAAAACAACAACTACTCGAATCTTGTTGTGCGTTTGGCGATAATAATATGCAGAAACAAAAATACATACGAACGAATCATAGGAAAAGTAAAATCGTTCTCATATTAATTCAATGATTTGCTTTTCGTTTTTTCCAATTAATTTAAAATCTTTTCTTGTCCTTTAATTAACTGAAGCTATTGCAATGAAAGTTTTGAATATTAGAAAAGAGAATAAATAAATAATTTCAATCTATGACAACAAATGATAGAACAGGTACTTATAGAAATCTTGATGCGCAATTTATTATTATTTTTCTTGAAAAACAATTTGATTTGTTAATCTACCTTCAAGCAGTATCGTTTATCTGACATGACTAATGAAACATGAAAACTGTTTCTAAAAATAACACAAACTTCTTTTCATAGTGATTTTGACAATTGATTTTATATGTGTGAGTGAAGTGCCAATAATTCGAATTTTGAGTGAAAATTTTTCGACATTTGTCTTTTTCATGATTGAATAGAGTTCGTCAAATTACCAACAGGAATACTGTTTTTGACATACTCAGATGATATTTTTGTAGTGAAACTTAAGAAAATTAGATTAACAAAAAAAATCAGAAAAATTTATGAAATTAAAATACATCCAAAAACATCAAATCTCGATAACCAGGATATTTATTAGAAATGTATTTTTGGAAAATATTATTTGATTGTTGAGAAAATCGATTTTTTTCGATCATCAGAAATTTCATGGCGAAACAAAACGAATATCATATTCGAAATTAATACAAAAAAGCTGTTAGCGCAATCCCTTGCGGGATTAAAAATGTGAAACACGATGGATCTATTGTTACTAATTAAATGGAAATCCTTTTGTTCCATCTCGATACGACACATTTGTAACTGACCGTATATCTGATGCTTTACAACTACACTTTCTCTGTCACGGTCTGTGATGGGTGCCCGGATTCTCTGTCACGGGCTGTGATGGGGGCCCGCATTCTCTG